ATTGCAGGCAGTACCTGGTGCGGGCAGTAGCTGGTGCAGGCAGTACCTGGTGAGGGCAGTAGCTGGCAGTACCTGGCAGTACCTACCTGGTATAAGTGCTCCCTTTTGGCACCCACAGAGAAGGACTGGATTCCCCGATCTGCATCCACACGTGGTGGTGGGACGGTGGGATGGTCGGATGGTGGAGAGTACGAGAGGAACAATAATGAACAACTGCCTCTTGAATTGAACATGGATGAGGCACACTTGCTCTTGATTAACAGTAAAGAAAATAAAGAATGAAAGTAAAACCGAAACGGAATACTAATCTTAACCTGGGCTCACCTTCGGTGGTGTTGGAGAAACTCCAGCCCAGAGTGTTGTTTTTGAGAATGCTAAAAAACAACCTGCAGCACTTTGGTGGTGTCGGAGAAACTCCAGCCCAGATACATTCACACGTTGAGACCCTTAGACCCATCGTTGGCTTGGCTCACCCTTGGTGGTGTCTGAAAAGACCCAACCCAGAGTGTCCACCGCCCATGGCTCCGCTACCTGTTCCCACTAGAAGGCAGTGCCAGCAAGCCACCCAATCAAGCACACCACTGAACCCCCCCGACTCACCCTTGGTGGTGCCTGAGAAGCCCCAGCTCAGAGTGTCCACCGCCCATGGCTCTGCTCCCTGCTGCCGCAACAAGAGAAGCTTACTGACTCCATGAAACCCCTCATCTGATTAGATTTGAGCTCCTCGACTCACGCTTGGTGGTGTCTGAGAAGCCCCAGCCCAGAGTGTCCACCGCCCAAACAAACCAATCCGTTTGCTAAAAGCTGCAGCCACGCAAAGTCATGGCTCCTGTATGGGGCTCCATTGGGCTCCATCCCCTGCTGCCGCAACAAAAGACTACCAGCAAGCCAGCTTATCAAACATACCACTGGAACCCCTCTACCCACCCTTGGTGGTGTTCAAGTAAGCACCCCCCTCGCCTCACCCTTGGTGGTGTCCGAGAAGCCCCAGCCCAGAGTGTCCTGTCCACGGCCCATGGCTCCACTCCCTGCTCCCGCAAGAAGACAGTGCCAGCAAGCCACCCAATTAAGCACCCATTATGAGCCCCTCGCCTCACCCTTAGTGGTGTCGGAGAAGCCCCAGCCCAGAGTGTCCACCGCCCATGGCTCTGCTCCCTGCTGCTGCAACATTGCAGCAACCCAATGTAACCCCTCACTTGCACCCATACTTACTGTTGGTGCTGTTCAAGTAAGCACCCCCCTCGCCTCACCCTTAGTGGTGTCGGAGAAGCCCCAGCCCAGGGTGTCTACGGCCCATGGCTCTGCTCCTCCTTCCTCCAGGCGCTCATACACCCGCCGCCACTCCAAGCATGAGCTGGGAGGGAGGGGAAGGGAAGGGAAGCGGAGGAGGATGAGGGGGGGAAGGGGTTAAGAACCCACTGATGAGACTTGACGCTCCCCCCTCCTCCAGACGCTGATACATACACCGCCATTCCAAGCATGAGCTGGAGGGAGAGAGGGAAGGAGGGGAAAGAAGATCTTACTGATAAGTTTCACTTCATTGCAGTGCCCCTCCCTCCTCCACGCGCTCATACACCCGCCGCCACTCCAGACAGGAGCTGCAAAGTATGGGGGGGGGGAGGAGGAGGACAAGGGGGGGAAGCGGGGAGAGAACGATGGAGGACAAGGGGAAGGAAGGGGATGAAGAGAAGGACGAGGGGGAAGGGAGAGGGGAGAGGACTGGGGGAGAAAAGGGGGATCAATCACACTATTACAGGTTCGGGAACATTTTTAGTATGGACGGGGCGGCTGGTGGGGGAGGGGTAAGAGGGGAGGACTGGGGGAGAGAAAGGGGATAGATCACACTAATACAGGTATACAGCATTTTCAACTCAACACAGGAGATCGTATTGTACACGCAACACTGCTCTGCAAGCTCGAGTCTGGTAAAAATTTTAGGTCAGTGAAATTGATTAGAAAAAGCAACTGAATAAGAGCCAGGTCACAGCACACACGTCAGCCGCTCTGGTATTTCTGGCTGGCACGACACCTGGTCACCTCATTTCCTTTATTGACACGTCAGCAACTGGTCTCGTAATATCGGCTGACACGTCAGCATACTCCCTCACAAGGATGATTGACACGACAGCACCTGGTCTCAATGAATCAATTGACACGTCAGCAACTGGTCTCAAGAACTTGACTGACCTGTCAAATCCGTGGAAGAGCAAGATGGGGACGGCTGTCTGGCCGGCGTTTTTTGGCACGATGCAGCTGCTCATGATTGGTTCTGAAGCCAGGTTGGTCTGGATGGGGAGGATGAGGGGAGTGGAGAGAGGAGGAGAGGTGAAGGGGAGGAGAGGGGAAGGGGAGGAGAGGCGAGGGGAGGAGAGATGAAGGGAGGAGAGGGGAGGAGAGAAGAGGGAGGAGTGGGGACGAAGGGGAGCAGAGGATGAGATGCAACTAGAACCTCTCCCCTGCACCAACGGCAATACATCCCCTCCCCTAACCTGCGGCAATCGTCAGAACGTCAAAACCTCCGCTCACCTGCAGTGCCAATACCTCCCCTCAACTGCAGCGATCCTTATAGGCATCTACACCAATACCTCCGCTTACCTGTGGCAAGTCGCGACCGTCAGAGCGTCGATACCTGAACAGGCACCCTCTGGATGCGCCGTGCCAGCTGGCGAGCCGCCTCCTCCTCAAGATCCGCTACTTGCGGCGGCAAAAAAGCCGGAAATTCCATGGATTCGCCTCGTGGCTCGATGGACGGAGACGTGGCAACGCCATTGCCGCTGCGCGCCTCGTCCGAGCTTGCAGACACGCTCACTCTCCTGTGGCCGCTGATTCTGTAACTCCTGTAACCCGTTTTTTTGTTCTTATTCGGATGAGAAAAAGTTATGCGCTGCGGATAGAGAGCCAGTAGCGGGGATATTTGAAATTGTGACGGAGCCTCACAAAGTACATCTTGTCGCACAGCGAGCCTCGCAGAATCAGCCTGCGAGCACGAAGAAATCGCGTGTGCGACACCGCACGCAGCCATAGTCACGGTCGAATACGAGCACAGGCTTCTAAGAAACCTGATACAGCGACTCGAGACTTCCAGCAGTGGTGTATCACACAGATTTCGTGGGGCAGATTCTGTTGTGCTGAGAAAATTATTCCCGAGGATTCTGTTGCGCTGAGGAATTTCTTCAAGCTATCCCCGTGACACCGAGCTTCATCGAATTGAAACGAATGCAACCGAAGATATTCGAGCTGCGTTTCCCCGATCACTACACCACAATGGAAAAGGAGGATGCATTTCGACATGTGACCATATTGAGGGATTTCATGATTGGTGTCTGAACGTGAACCGCTCTTCAGTTGCCACGTCAGTGGCCCCCATCGGCGACACAGATGTGATACTGTAGGAGAACAGACACGACGGGGTTTCCGCCCTGGGTTGGGAACGGTTCAAAGTTCATAAATCAGGTCCTGAAGTTGCCTGTGTGTGGATGGAAACCCCACTGAACCGCATACGACAAACAGAAACCGAACACGCTGGACACAACGGAATTTAAAGGCGGGTGCAAGCAATCTCTCCCACCAATCAGTAACGTTCCCGCGCAACCTCGGGAGTTCCACTCATCCTGAGGGAATTCCGCCGCCAACACAACACACTGCCTGCTGCACTGCACAGTGAATAAGCACTACGCTTCCAGTGCGTTTCCGTAAGTTTTAACACGGTAAGAAGCTGTTGTTTTTTATCACCGCTCTGGAATGGTTGGCACAAGACGGGAAACTGTCATCCTCATCACCCATTTCTCCCTATTCCTTTCCATCAGTTCACTTCAGCTCCGTCAATTCATCTCTAGTCTCAAATTCTCCAGCTTCTTGTTCCTCAGCCGCCCCACCATCTTCCACTTCCTTTTTGACTCGAGTTGTATGCTGTTACCGTGCGTCAGAAGGATGCGCGTTTCTGATTTTATTCGCTAGGGTGTTTCTACATAGCGTTGCTGTTGGTCACTGCTCCGCTTACTCGTTGCGGGTTGCTGTTTCGTATGGCGACTTGTAGTACCTTGAAGGAGCTGGTTCGTGTTGCGCATCCTCGACCTCTAGCTTCGCAACGTTCTGGCCTTATTCCTGGGTCCAATCTCAATGCTCTACTCCGCTCGACTCAGGAATTCCATACGCGCGAAACTTCCAAAAAGTATCAGATATCACTGTCGCATCGGCACGACTTGAAAAACGGAAGGTCTGGAAAGGTTTCCTGCGGTTTTGTTCAGGCGAGGACATCGCGTGTAACATGCCACGTAGCGGTTCCTGCGGACGTGAGCTCCGACAATGCCTCTTCAACTTCTGCCGAATCTCGACGGAATCCGTCAGTCATCGACGCCGATAAGGGCTCACATTCTCTCACCGGGGGTTTCGCCGTGCCAGCTCACGAAACTGAGGGAATTATCTCCGGGTCTGTCCATGTCGATGGCGGAAAGCTTGAATTCCATGGCGGAAGGCTGGCGTCAGGAGGTGCGACGAGCAACCCGCGGGGACCTCGATCGCACGAGGAGATTTGCGAGCGGATAGCGTTGGAAAGGGCTCGGCGGCGTGCAACGGACCGGCAGTCTACCGCTCTCGTCCGCGCGCTGACGTGGGCTCTGCGTGGCGTGAATGACGTGGCAGCGGTGGATGCGGTTATGGCTGTCGCGGAGGAGGAAGGCGAGGAGGTGAAGGCGCGAGTGGTATCTTCCGTGCTCCAGAAGCTCGGAATTGAACGCCGAGTTGGTGCTGCGCTGGCGCTTTTCCATTGGCTGCAGCGTGCTTCTGGTTCCGAGACTGTCAGAAGTGGCACTACAAAGACTGGTATGCCTTCTGAAAGTGAAATCGAAAGAAACAGTCACGCACAGGAACAAGCAGTTTCTGAACACGAGGAAGCAAGAAAAGGAGAGACTGAGGTGAGATGGAAGGGACTATTTGAGCCGAATGTGTTCACGTACAATAGCTTGTTAGGAGCACTAAAAGCCAACGGGGAATGGACACGGATGGAGGAAGTAATGGAGTGGATGTCAGCCAATGGCGTGGCGCCAGATGTCGTCACTTTAAACACTCTCCTGGCTGGCTTAGAAACGCAAGGCAAGGACGAAGCAGCGTGGAACCTTCTAACAAAGTTCGGCATCCAGTACTCGTTTCACAAGCCACGGCGGACCACAGACGCTCAAAGCAAGCCGCTGGAGAGCAAGGCTTCAGAGAGCAAGAAGCACGATCTGAATTCGCAGAGCAAATCGCACGAGCCGACTCCCAATACCACGATACAAGACGCCCCAACGGTCCCGCAGCACCTAGTGGCCGTGTCCGCCGCGCCCACCAAGGCCGCGGAGTTTGTGGAGGGATGGTCTGTGCGGCCGGACCTGTTCACTGTGCGCACCGTGCTGCCTGTGTGCCGCAGAGGGCGGGTGGTGGAACGAGCGCTGGCGCTGTACTCTCTGGCTCTGGAATCAGCGGGCTCTGCTAGTGGCAGCGGTAGCAGTAGCAGCAGCGGCAGCAGCAGGAACGAGGGGAGCAGCGGAATTGTAGCCAGAGGAGGTGAGCGGAGTGGGAGCACCCGGCAGCAGCAGCAGCATGGGGAGGTGGCAGCGGCGCTGAGGTTTGCTTGCAACGAGGAGATGAAGCAGATAATCGCCACGCTGGAGCGACAGGTGGACGGAAACCGTCAAGCAGACGGAAACTGGCAGGCAGACGTTCACGTGCAGTCAGGGAAGGCCGAACAGATAAGGAGCAGTAAGGCAGCTGCATTGGCGCAGGATATAGCACAGGGAGACGCACGTAGGGATGGTACTGCAACGAACGGGATAGCCGCAGGCACAGTTGCAGGGGCAGCGTCAGGTGTGGGGGAGAGAGAGGGAGGGGAAGGGCGAAGTGAGGTAGCTGCTACTGGTGCTGCGGCGACAGCGATAGGAGCAGCAGCGGTTGGGGCTAAAGCAGCAGCAGCTGTGACCTCCAGAGGCGAGTTTGCTGCAGGGATGGATGAGAGGGAAGAAGAGGAGGAACAGGAGGAGCAGGAGGAGCAGGAGGGGGAGGAGGCAGAGGAGGAGGAGGAGCAGGAGCGGGAGCAAGGGCAAAGAGCAGGGAGTAGGGGGGCAGGAGAGAGCATGATGAGGCATGGCACAGCAGGTGCGTCCAGGGTGCTGTGGCTGTTGGATCAAATGGAAAGGGTGGGGATAAAAGCGGATGCGGAGACGTACCGCTTGGCCCTGCACGCTTGCTGTCTTGACGACCTCGTGGGTCATGCCAAGCCCGTGGGCATGGGCAGTTCTAAGGGCACAGGCATGGGTCACCGTAAGCATGGGCATGGGCACAGGCAAGGAACTTGCAGGCAGAGGGAGATTCGCACTCTCTTTGCTGCCATGCGCAGCCACGGGTTTGTCCCTGGCCTGGACACGTGTCACCAGGTGATTGGCGCGCTTGGCAGGGCGAAAAAGTGGTGGGCAGCACTGGAAGTTTTCGAGTCGATGAAGGCACAGGGGCCTGCTCCAACCCCCGCCACGGAGAGGCTTATTCGCGGGCACTTTAACATTTTGCTGACGGCTGCCCGGAAGCGCGGGCTATGGAAGTGGTCTGTCTCCCTGCTTTCCAAGATGGAGTCTGCAGGTCTCCCACCAGACGCCTATGCATGGCGCACGGCGCTCGTAACATGCGCCAAGGCAAACGAAACCGCTTCCGCTATCAAGGTTTTTGAGGATATGGTGGAGACCGGGGTCCGGGCGGATGCAGTGGCGTACGGCGCTTTGCTAAGTGCGCTGGAGAAAGGGGATTTGTTGGAGCCAGCAGAGGCGGTGTGGGGGCATATGAGGAAGATGGGTGTGGAGCCGAACAGGCAGGCGTACACTACTATGATTGTTGCGCTGGGGAAGCGAGGGGAGTACGGACGAGCTGCAGCCCTGTTTGAGGAGCTTCAAGGGACGGCTAGCAGCGGCAGCAACAGCAGCAGCAGCAGTGGTGGTGGAAGCAGCAGCAGCGGGAGCAGCAGTAGCGAGTCTGCTCTGTCCCAGCAGGGGGGAGCAGGAGAGGAGTTGGTTGCTGTTCGGGTGCACAGAAGGCAGGATGGACCACCAGCACCAGCCGCTGCTTACAGGGAACGTCACCTGGGTGCTGACGTGGCGGCATTCAATGCGATGGTGACGGCTTGTGCTCATGCTGGAGAAGGGCTGAGGGCGCTGGACTGGCTACAAAAGGTTAGTAGTGAATCCTTCTCCTTGTTTTCCTTTTTTAAGAGAGGAAATTGCTGGAGATCGGCTGAGGGCGCTTGACTGGCTGCACAAGGCAAGTGAATGCTGCTCTTGCTTTTCTTCAGCAATGTCACCATACTTTTCATTTCCCAAGTGTTGAAGCGCCCGTTTTATCTCACAATTGGTTTCACAGCACTTGTGTCACTAAGGAAGTCATCCGTGCAGGATTGTTCCCTCTTCATGTCAAATGTTTCAGTACTCTGCACTCCCTCCCTCCCCAATTGCCCAGCTGCTGCCTACTGCATTCAACGCTTCGTGTCCTATTTTATTCAGATTTCGTGCATTTTATTTTATCTTATACTTCCGTTTTACAGATGGAGGTTTCATCTGCCACTCCACCAAATGCCACCACCTACCAGCAAGCTGCCATTGCCCTTGCTGATGCCAGTCACTGGGAGGCCGCCCTGTCCCTCATCCCACGAGCGCGCTCTCGGGGGATTGAACCCACGCCGTTGATGTTTGAGGTGGTGCAGCGATCCTGTGCCGCCAATGGGGCAGACTTTGCATCACAGTTGGCAGTTGTTTCAACCACTCGTGCGGATTTGGTTGGTGGTGCGAAGAGTTGATGCTAGCAAGGAAACCGTGGATGCTGCTTTGCAGTTGAGAATCTGAAGTCAAGCAGTATTGGAGATATTGCTAACACACTCTAGGTGACATTTATCTCACGTGTTGCAATGTGTTATCCACATTTTCTTATAGCTAGAAATTACCATTCGCACAACAGCAAAAGCGACTGATGGAATTGCACGATTTGCGTACAGGTTTAAAGGTTTTTTATAGGTCGTAACCTGTTACAAACATGCACCTAGATGAGGAAACAAGCATAAGCCCAGCTCCCCTTTGGGGAGCACGTGTGAACACGTCTTCCTCCCGCCACTAGAGCGGAGCCCATAAAGGATGGGTATCTAGTTGACACGTGGCGATGGGGGGAGGCGAGGTCTTCAAGGAGGGCGGAAGGTATCGTTGAGTAGCCAGGTGGCACGGAAATCCGGGTGAATTGCCGGGCAGTTGGGTTCGGGGAAGATGAAGAAACGATGAAGTTGTGCCATTTTGATTTTACGGGCCGCCCGTTGCTGTTTTTTCTTGGAGCTTTTTGAAAACCGCCATATGAAGATCTTGAACGCCAGCAGGAAGTCATGTAACACCTGATGTAACGCATCCACTGTCTTGGTGGGAACCTGCTTAAATCGATGACTGCATCTCGCGTTCCATATTGTTTTAGCTGCAGCACCAACCAGTAGACACCACGGAGCACTTTGCCCAGCAGCTGCTGAGAGAGGGAAGAGCGTCAATTCGGGGGAGGTAGAAATTCCCAGGTGGGCCCGAGCGGAGCGTTGGAGTGCTTCCGTGATTGGCTTGGCGGCACCACATTCAAAAAGCAGACGCGGAAGTGATACGAGCACTCCCCGATCGCAGCCGGAGCATATCCCTTTGTCACGCGCAAAACTGAACCTGGAGCCAGACGGAAGCGCCAAGGTTGTCAAAGTATATGCTTGTCTTATATGTGTAGGCTGTAGTGGGGTAGCCAATATGGGGTACAGCCCCTTTTAGGGTTTCATACTTGTACCCACCTCTTTCATAGTTCATTCATTCTGCTGCTAGATTCTGACATGGTTTCAGAGCACTAGGTCCGTAGGACCGTTTTTTTCGGGCCCACCTACCGTTGCGGTTACTGCGTTACCCCACGTGTTGACCTGCCTGCCTGCCTTGCCTTGTGACGTGCTGCGCTGCGCGCGCCGTCCTGCAGCCCTAGTGCTGCCTACTGCTGCCCTAGGCCAGAGCGCCGCCCCTCCAGGCCCGTAAGGCCCACGCGCCGCGCCTGCAGACACGTCACGCCTGCGAGCCGCCCCTGCAGGCCCGTCAGGCCAGGGCGCCGCCCCGCCAGGTCGCTGCCCCGCGCGTCGCGCTGCAGCCCCGCGTGTCGCGCCCACAGCCCGCGCGTCGCGCTGCAGCCCCGCGCGTCGCGTTCGCTGCCCGCGCGTCGCGCTGCAGCCTCGCGCGTCGCGTTCGCTGCCCGCGCGTCGCGCTGCAGCCCCGCGCGCCGCGGCGGCCGTCCTCGCGCAACCCGCAGCGGCTTCGCGCGCCGCGTCCGCGGCTCGCGTAGCGCGCTGCAGCCTCGCGCGCCGCGGCTGCCCCTGGACGCCGCCGTCGCTCCTGCAGCAGCTGCCGCGGAGCGCCCTGCCACAGTAGCGGCCCCACCCTGCAGCAGCTGCCGCGGAGCCTCCTGCCGCCGTCGCGGCCCTGCCTTGCAGCAGCTGCCGCGGAGCCTTCTACCGCCGTCACGTCCCCGCCCTGCAGCAGCTGTCGCGGACCTGCCCTACCTCCGACGTGGTCCTGCTCTGCCGCAGCTGTCGCGGCCCCGCCGTCGCCGCTGTCGTGCGCCTGCCCTTCCCGCCACTGGTGAGCACCTGCCTACCTGCCTGCCCGCCTGCCTGCCTGCCTGCCTGCCGCGCCTGCCCTGCCCGCGCTACTACTACTACTAGGCTGCTGCTGCTGCTACTCCTACTGCTGCTGCTACTGGCGGTGGCCAGATGCAGCTCCAGCGACGTTCACGCGAGTCTCTCACGCCCCAGCAGCTTCGTGAGTGGTACGCTAGTTGGGGTTGTGGCGGTCGCCGTCGTAGCTGTCGCCCTGGAGCTGGTCAGTTGGGACCGTCTGGCAGTGGCCAGCTGCAGCTGCAGCGGCGTCCACGCGAGACACTTACGTCCCAGCAGCTTCACGAGTGGTACGCTCAGAGTAGAGGGTCTTTGAGTACCGTTCGCTGCCCGTACGTCATTCGCACAGGTGATCGGACCGGTCAGGCTTGCGGGACGCTTGGTCACACAGTCCCGCTGCTTCGCCCGTCTGAGCGACGCCTGGCGTACCGAGTTTGGCGACGAGGCTGAGCTCCCCACCTGGCTGGAGCTGCTTGGACAGAGGGTAGATATCTTTGCTCTTGACTATGATGCTATTCTCACTGCCATGTATGCATTGCCTACTAGTGCTGACCGTGCCTGTTCCCTGTGCGTACCACCTGACCCATGTATAGAGCCTGCTGCTCTAGGTGCTGGTGAGGCTGCTGCTCTAGGTGCTAGTGCGTCTCCTGCTCTAGGTACTGGTGAGGCTGCTGCTCCAGGTGCTGGTGAGTCTGCTCTCTCTGGTACTGCGCCTGCTGAGGCCGTGTACACCTTCACACTTGACTCAGGTGCTTCCCGCTCCTTCTTTCGTGACAGCACCACCCTCACGCCGCTCCGTCGGCCGGTTGCAGTCTCCCTGGCGGACCCCTCTGGGGGTCCACTCCTTGCGCACTCCTCCACGGTCCTGCCGGGTCCGGCGGTCCCGTCTGGCTCCCTGTCCGGCCTTCACCTCCCCTCGTTCTCTACGAACTTGGTGAGTGGAGCTGACCTACAGGATGTGTGGGTTGACCAGTTCACCCCTGGAGGTCAGCGTGTGACCCACTGTACGTGCTCCCGGACTGGTCGGCACCTGGCCACGTTCACCCGAGAGCCTGGCTCGAGTCTGTACACTCTGACCACTGTGTCCCCTCAGGTAGCTGCGTCTGCATCTGCGTTTGTGTCAGGTCAGCTAGCGGCCCCCTGCTCGTGTCGCGCACTGTCGCACCAGACCCTCCTTTGGCACCACCGCCTTGGTCACCCCTCGGTGCAGCGCCTTCGTAGCATGCAACGCCGTTTCCTTGTCTCTGGACTTCCAGAGACTCTGCCTCGTCTACCACCCTCGCCTGCTCCTCCCTGTCTTCCCTGTGTCGAGGGGCGGCAGCGCGCCGCTCCTCACTCCTCCTCGTTCCCTCCCACAGAGGCTCCCCTGCAGACTCTCCACCTGGACGTGTGGGGCCCAGCCCGCGTCCGTGGACAGGGCCACGAGCGGTACTTCCTGCTGTTCGTCGACGACTACACGCGTTACACCATGGTTATCCCCTTGCGCAGCAAGGGGGAGGTCCCCTGGATCCGCGCTGTTCGTCTCCAACTCCGCGAGTGGTTCCAGTCGGACTTTCCTGTCCTGCGTCTGCACTCTGACAGAGGTGGTGAGTTCTCCTCAGACCTCTTGGCGGCCTACTGTGCGGAGCACGGCATCCGCCAGACATTCACGCTTCCGGCCTTTCCGCAGCAGAATGGGGTTGCTGAGCGCGGCATTGGCTTAGTCATGGAGGTCGATCGTACCTCCATGATCCATGCGGCTGCCCCCCATTTTCTGTGGCCGTTTGCGGTCCGGTACGCCGCGCATCAGCTCAACCTCTGGCCCCATGTCTCCTTGCCGGAGACCTCGCCCACACTGCTGTGGATGGGGAAGGTTGGCGATGCGTCGCGTTTCCGGGTCTGGGGTGCTCGTGCCTTTGTCCGCGATACCACCGCGGACAAGCTCTCCGCCCGCGCTGTTCCCTGTGTCTTCCTTGGCTTTGTCCCTGACGCGCCTGGTTGGCAGTTTTACCACCCCACGTCGCGCCGTGTCTTCCCCTCTCAGGACGTCACGTTCGACGAGTCGGTTCCCTTTAACCGTCTCTTCCCCTACCGCACTGCCCCTCTCCCCCCCCCGCCGCTCTTCCTCGCTCCAGGTGCTCCCCAGGTAGACCCCCTCCCCGCTCCCGGTCCTGCTCCTTCAGGTGTGTCTCAGGTAGACCCTCCTCCCTTGACTGAGCCGGTTGAGGTCACTGGTGACTCGGGTCCTGCTGAGGGTGGTCCTGCTCGGGGTGCGGCTTCTGGGGGTGCTGAGCCTGGGGGTGCGGAGCCTGGGGGTGCTGAGCCTGGGGGTGCTGAGCCTGGGGGTGCGGAGCCTGGGGGTGCGGAGACTGGAGGTGCTGAGCCTAGGTGTGAGGAGTCTGGGGGTGCTGAGCCTGGGGGCGCTGAGGCGTCTGGTGAGCAGTCTTCCTGGAGCGGTCGTCTCCGTAGTCGCTCCGCTGGTGCCTCGCCGCTGCACTCTCGTCGTCGACTCCCTCTCTCCCCACAGCAGCTGCTTGAGTGGTACGCTGGCCGTCAGGGTCGCGCTGCTGGAGCTAGGGGCCTTGCTGCGGGAGGCGCTGGAGCTGGTGACTCTGCCACTGGAGTTGTTTCTGCTGGAGGTTCTGGAGCTGCTGAGGGTGCTGGCGCTGGAGGTTCTGGAGCTGCTGCGGGTACTGGCGCTGAGGGTTCTGAGTCTGCTGTTGCGCGGTTTCCTTAGAGTAGCCGCCTTCGTCCGCGTGTGCCTCTCACCTCGCAGCAGCTGCACGACTGGTACGGTCGCCGTCAGGGTCGCGCTTCTGGAGCTCGGGGCTCTGCCTCTGGAGGTACTTCTGCTGACGTCACTGGAGCTGGGAGTGGTGCTGGTCCCGGAGGTGCTCATACTGGACGTACTGGAGCTGCTGGGGCTGGAGGTGCTGAGCCTAAGGGTGCTGCTGCTGGAGGCACTGAGGCTGGAGACCCTGGGACTGGAGGTGCCGGTTCTGGGGGTGCTGCTGTTGGTGGAGCTGGTCCTGGAGGAGCTGGCGCTGAGGTTTCTGGAGCTGCTGGAGGTGCTGGCGCTGGTGGCGCCGGAGCTGGAGGTTCTGGAGCTGCTGAGGGTGCTGGTGCTGGAGGTACTGGAGCTGCTGGAGGTA